GGTGCTGCAGCTGTCCGCAGTGGCCATTCTAAATTTCACCTCCCTTTTCTCTGTGCCTGTCCCTTCCATGTGCCTTCACTCTCTGTCTCCTTCCTTTCCGTGTTATTGAAAACAGTCCCATTCCCAGCATTTCCCATTTTCCAGGCAATTCAGAAAAGTTTGGAACTATAGTTAAAGTTGACACTCGAGCAATTAGCACATGCATAATGATGAGAAAATACAGTTGTGTCATATTTAAAGATCAGGTGCCATACTTTATTTTGAACTCCTTCAATTTTCACCAATACACATCAGCTTTACTTTTTGCAAGGTGTAACATCTCATTGCAGACCCAAATACATTTCCCTTTGATTCGTAAATTGGTCACTATTAAAAGGCTAGCATTTGATAATTGCCATGCTATCATATAAAGATAACACAGCAGTGTTACTTAAATTCATAGCGCTTATAGGGGCCTAAACGACCGGTATTAGTTCAAGAAAGAGATTTGTATGGCTCTGTAGAGTAGCCAGCTAAGGGCAACTCTCTGCTCAGAGTAGACCGGTAGCCAAGTTGTTAGCTGCACAAGAACAGAGATGGTGAAGAATACAAACAAGTCTCTGCATAAATCAGTGGTGTGGTCTCGTTTGGAAGTGTACGCAGGGTAGCTCTCCCCCTCTCAGGGAGGGCACTGCAGAAGCAAAGGAGGGCTCGGGGGAGTTGATGGCAACGACCATGGGGCTGCAGAAACTCTCAGATGAGCTGCTCACTAGATAGCTGCGGACGGAGCTGAAGAACGGGCCGATCAGTTGCTCGGCACTCTCAGCCTTTTGCCTGGTTCTGGAACGGAGGGCGGCAGACGCGGCTGGAAGCCACAGAGGCACGGCCGCCCGGTCGCGGTGCGGATATCGATTGATAAGGACTTTTCCTATGGTCGAGCTGGTGCCGCAGGGCGGCGCGCGGAAGCCGCTTTGCTCCCAGGCACTACCAGCCTCGCGTACGGGAGGCAGCGAGGGACAAACTCCAAGTGTCCGGGGGCAGTGCTGTTGAGCGTCCCCCCCGCGTTGGTTTCACTCCGGCCCAACGGGACTGGGCTGAATGTGCCTGGGGCAGGCTCAGGCTGGGGGCGGAGGGGGAGGGGCAGGCTCCTTTCTCACTTTGCAGAAGTTCTCAGGCCGGTGGCTCTGACCCAGCTTCCCGCGCTCCATGAGGAACAAGCTTCTCTCACCAGTCACGAGCCCTGCCCTGAAACGTGCCAAGATTTCAGATCTAATGGAGGCTGAAAGGCACCCGGCTGAATGTGCCTGGGGCAGGCTCAGGCTGGGGGCGGAGGGGGAGGGGCAGGCTCCTTTCTCACTTTGCAGAAGTTCTCAGGCCGGTGGCTCTGACCCAGCTTCCCGCGCTCCATGAGGAACAAGCTTCTCTCACCAGTCACGAGCCCTGCCCTGAAACGTGCCAAGATTTCAGATCTAATGGAGGCTGAAAGGCACCCGAAATACTAGTGCGTGTAACACAAGCCTTACCAACTTCTGCGGGGCACAACTTGAAGTCCCTATTCAAATCAAGCCTGGCTCCTTTGACACTGGAGCTAGCTAGCACTACTGTGACTTAGCTTCTTAAAGGATTTAAGTACCACCCCACCTTGAAATTAATGGAAATGGAGGTGCCTAAACTAAACCTAATGCAAGAGGACCCCAATCGTGAATAGGCCAATAGTTGTGCTGTAATAGTAAATAAGATGAATATTTAAATAAGATGGGAATGGGGAAGGAGGCATTAATTCGGAAAATGGAGAGGCTGGGGAGGGGAGGGATGCTAACTGGGGGCAGAACTGAAAATTTGAATATAGAAGGTTTTTACAAAGAAGGGTTTGAAATAAAAGGGTTCTACGGTACATGAGATGATTTAAATGGGCATTAGACTTGTATACCTAAAGAGGATATTTGGGCTTTAACAATTTACCGTAGATAGTCCATAACTGTATTTATCCACAATAAAGCAGACATTGGACTGTGGAGAGAGAGAGAGAGAGAGAGAGAGAATGCCTCTAGTCCAGTGCTTAGGGGACTTAGATGAAAGACCCTCTGGGAAGGTGAAAGAAGGTCCAGTTTCATCCCCCATCCTGCAGTTCTTTTCTTGTTCGCCCACAGATTCAATAGGAGAAACTGACTAGTTGAGATATGTCCTGATTTGAGCAGGGGGTTGTACTAGATGACCTCCTGAGGTCTCTTCCAATCCTATGATTATATGACTGCAGGAGCCTCGCATTAGACTATCTTCCATCATAATAGGTAGAGCTCTTTCCTGAAAGATGGAGGAGAAATTATTTGAAGAGGGGTCTTCCTTTGGTGGGGGGTTGGGCAGAGGGGAAATTGAACTTGGGTCTCCTAAATTCCAGGCTAGTGCTAGCTACTGGTCTAAAAGTTATAAAATGTGCTCCAGATCATTTTGAATGGGACTTGATACAATAAGTGGAAACAGACCATGCTTACAGGCTAGACCCTGCGCATGACTTAGGTGGACATACACCAATTTTCTCTCAGTTTATGAAATGTTCTGGGGCTTCGGCAGGAAGTAGATGTCTATGTGCTTAGAGTAAGACAGCAGGGTGCATGCCCAGCAGTGGAAACTTAGGTTCAGAGGAATCTTTATGTTGAACATTTAGATATAAAGAGTATAGGGGCCTACAGGATTCAGGGGGAGTTTTGCGGTTCACAGCAGAACTTAAAACTGGGACTTGGGTTCTTCAACCTGACACTTAGTGGGCTGGGTCCTTAGTGTTTTCATTACTCTACTCTTCACTTTCTTTCCCATCTATAACTCCATTTCCTGCCCATGTACAAAGCCAATGCAGAGATATATGCCGGAGTTGTACATAGACTGAAACAGTAACTCTCAGGTGTGAAGTGCTCCATTCTTCCCACTGGGGATGTTGACTCAGATTTGTAATATTGACAATTTAAAGGTCAACAATGTTAATTAACTGAGACCCCTTGTTATGGTGCCACGAGTAGGTAGCAGTTGGAATAGAACTGTCCTTTAATATTTTTGTCCAATCAGGAAAGAGCCAAGTCTAAGGCGCTCAGCAGTCCCTATGGCTATGGGTATAGCCAAACCTCACTGAGTTGGGTATCAAACCCAAGGAGCCCAGTTATTTGCTAGTAAAATTAACCTGTAACAGTGAGAGTACCATCACATAGTTGCCACCAGGTTTCAAGGTAACTAGCAGTAATACCTAATAAAACAAGAATTGCACAGTGGCCATGGTGCGGCCAGTTAACAGATTTCTCAAAGTGGTTTTGCGGACCACTTTGAGAAACACTGTCTCATAGGGTTTACAGTAAGGATGTTAAAGCGTGATTGGATAGTTGTATGGTCGATACAATTTCCATCAACTATACAATTAGTCGATAATCGTTTCTGCAGAGCCACAGTGCTGGCTCATGCCAACTCTGGAGCCATCTGTGCTGTGGTTCTGTATTTTAAATGTAGTAAGAGCTGCTGGGAACGGTGGCCTGGCCCACACCACTTCCCGCAGCTCCTCTTGGCTGCAAATGGAAGGGGCTAGTCAGGCAACAGCCCCTACCTGCTGCCAGCCTCTGTTTGTGGCTCTGACAGAATGCTCTGGCACCAGCCCCTGTTCGTGGCAACCAGGGCTGCCACCATGAACAGGGATTGCTTGGCAGCAACCACCCCTGTCTGGGGGAGGCCCAGCTCCCTGCTGGGACCCTTTTGGACAGGGGCTGCTTTACAGCAGAGTTCCCTATCCTCCCTCCCCCCCGCTGCCCTGCTGCAAGTGGCACCCTGGAGATGGTGCTGGGGGAAACCGACTTTTAAGTTGGCTCCTCCTAGCACCAGCTCCTGTTTCCCCCCCTTGCTGCCTCTCAGAGCCTTGGGTTGGACTAGAGTCCCTGCTCTCCCCGTGCTACTTGCAGCACTTCTGCTTTTTCCTGCATTTCGAAAATTGAAGCACCCGCGGTGGGAACCATTGTGAGTTGGACTGAAGCTGTCCCTGCTTGTGCCGTTTCCCTCTGTGCCTCTGCCTTCCCTGCCACCTGCAGAGATGGTGCTGGTGAAAACTGGCTTTATTGGTTCCCCTCAGCACCAGTTCCTGCTCCCTCCTCTTTGCTGCCTTTCTCTGGGAGAAACAGCAAGGGGAGGGGGAGCGATTAGTCGAGTTGACTATCTGATAAGCATTTGCTTATCAGATAGTTGATTAGTTGACTAGTTGCTTACAGCCCTAGTTTACAGATCTCACAGAAAAAAATGCTGTTCATTGAGACATCTAAAAACAGTTTACTGAGATGAGAAGAGGATTCCAGACAATAACTGTTAACCAGTTGCTTATTCTCATTATTTGACATGATGGTTAAAACAACAAGGGACTATTGCTTATTATTTTTAAACCAGTTTAAATGTTATAGTATAAATTAGAGTACATTCCATAAAAGAATCTACCTAACAAATAAGTAGGAGGCAATTCCTAGTTATAATTTCCATTAAGAGAACTGACAGTTATGTTAAATTCATGTTTGGAACTAAGTTTTGCTTACTTTCACAAACAAATCGTATTAGGTGCTAGATCCATGAGTGCTCTAGGGCTAGAGCACATACAGGAAAAAGTAGCAGGTGCTTGCTTAGCGCACACTGGCAACCAAGCTTCCCCTATGCCCTCTCTCCCCAGCACCTCTTGCCTTCTTATGGCCCTGATGACCAATTCCTCTGCCTCCCTCCTAGCTTCTCCTGTCCAGAGTAAAACACCTGTTTTGCAGAATTTGGGAGACTTTGGAAGGGAGGAATAGGAGCAGGGATAAGGTGTGCTGGGAGAGCAGAGAGGAGAAAAAGAAGCAGGATGGGGGCTTGGGGAAAAGGGTGGAGTGAAGCAGAGGGGCTGAGCATTCTCTGGTTAGAGGGGAAGTTGGCACCTGCGATGGTACATATGGCTAAAGACTTAATTAGAGATGAATTATGTATATACAAATTGAAGTACTCATGATTCATTTCTCTTGATGAATTTTTAGAAATCATCTGTACAGAGCTTAGGTGAAGAACAAATACAGAATCCCTACACTGAGCTCCTTGTACTGAAAGGTCATCATGATATAGTGAGATTTCTAGTAAAAATAGATGATTACAGGTAAGATTGTTTTTCTAATTATTGCATTTAATCCTAAGTAATACATAAGTGGGAGTCTGATGAAAATCAGGAAATATTTTAATTATTTTTTGCCAGAAACCAAATACCAGGGTATTTAGATCTAAATGAATGGAAACATATTTAGTAAGACATTACATTTCAGTGAAATCACCTTTTGGTTTGAATATAAACATCCCTCTGCAACTTTTGCATTTTGAACGTTTTAGGTTTCTGGATCTGCTCCTATAACAGTCACATAGCCTATGTGGCTTGACCAAAGTCAATGTCCACACTCGTTTTTTTCCTCCGGGAAAAAGATACACAAATTTCGATCTACAATTTGAGTCTCTTTTTCTGCCTTTTTTTTTTTTTTTTTGAAAGATGCTTTTCCGACATTTGGCCCACCTACAACGGGCCAAATGTGAGAAAAACCGCCTGTTTCGGAAGATCCATTATTCCTCATAAAATGAGGAATACAGGGATTCCCAAATAATGCGCCCACTTTTTGGAAACTGTTCCGAAAAGGATGTGGTAAGGTTTTTCTGGGATGCCAGGTATCCCAGAAAAACTCTGCAGTCCAGACATACCCATCGTCTAAGAGGAACTATCTGTGCCTCAATTTCTTGTACAATGGGGATATTACTTTCCTGTTTTAGAGGATGATGTATGCTTTACAAATCACACAGATATCCTAGAATTGCCTTTCACATTAATAATGCCCTTTCCCTTTTGCTCTGGAGGAAAGCCTTGGAGGCGCAGGACCCCGCCGCCTCTGCGGCTTTGCTCCGGGTGTCCCTGGTCTGCTGGGGACCCCTCCCAGCAGACCAGGGACACCCCGAGCAGACCAGGGACACCCGGAGCAAAGCCGCGGAGGCGCGGGACCCCGCCACCTCTGCGGCTTTGCTCCGGGTCTCCCTGGTCTGCTGGGGG